CGAACAGTCTACTACTGACCTTCAAGCCTAGACTACCTCTTGACTTTCTCCTACCTGAGAATGAATCAACTGCTGCACCGGGTACGTTAGAGTTTGCCTACAGATACAAACAGAAAATGCAGCAGGCTGTAGAACAGATGCAGAAGGCAAAGGCCACGATGATAGAGTCCGAAAACAGACACCGCATGCCTTCTACATTTCAGGTTGGGGATAGAGTCTGGGTTAAGTCTTCAGAACTGGGAGAAGAGTACGAGATATCCCGCAAACTCATGCCTCAGTACTTTGGACCTTGGGAAGTCTTGGACATCGTCGGGACAGATCCGGATGGGCCATCATATGTTATCCGGATTCCTGGTCATCTTCGTACTTACCCTGTCTTTCACGCCTCCAAGCTGGCACCTTTCAAAGAAACTGACCAGTTCCCATCTCGTCGCTCAATGCTGCCCCCAACCATGGACGGAGAGGTGGACATTGATGATATTGTAGATCACCGAGAGTTGCCGGTATCAAGACCAGCAGGCAGGGGACGTCCTCCAAAACCGAAGCTGCAGTACCGCGTTCGGTTCCGGCATCACACTGATCTGAAGGAGGACCGATGGTTCACCAGGGAGGAACTGATGCAGACCGCTCCTCAAGTTGTGACTCAATACGAGAGATCTCTGCAGACGGGAAAACGCCCTATGATCGAAGATTGAGCTTCTCAGAGGACTGTTGAAGCTAAGGAGGAGGGAATGCGAGGCCACTGCCACTAAGAGCCCCACAAGGCCCCATTTCTGCAGCCCGTCGTCCGCCCTAAGTGAAGGCAGGCTCGACGAGGCCCTCAGGGCCCTTTTCTGGCCACCACGCAACTCAAGGAAATTCAGGCAGTTGCGCCGCGCCAGTTGGTTGACTGAACCCAGGCCCTGGGCCGCCTGTGTGAATGTATGTGAAGCAGGCCCTGGGCTGGATACGGGTACCGGGCCAAACACAGGCCGAAAGCAGTTGGGCACAAGCAACCACTTCAGGCCCAAGGCCTGCTCCTCTCGTGCTGGGCCTCAGGCTACCGGGGCCTACTGGAAGCTTCTTGGACTGGACGCAGGCAGGCCACTTCGATATAGGAAAGGGCCTGCCTCCTCATTGGGCATTCGAGTGCTGGCTGCATGCTGCGCAAGCGCTGCTGCTGCGCTATTTGCTGGCTGGCGCCTACGCTCTCACGGGCAAGCAGGGAAGGAGCACACAGCCATAGCCGAGTTGCGCTGCTGTAAGCTGGGTGAAGCGCAGGGTGGTCCTTGGGTGCTAGTGGCATCTGTGAGTTGGGGAACGAGGTTGTGAGTGTAGCACGAGACATACCTGGTGCTGGAAGCGTGCGACATTGGTCGCCATATGCTCGTACTTCGGGAATGTTGTTGATGTCATCTTTTGGCTTCGTAGTATAGGCTAGATAGGATCTGCCACATGTAGTCTGGGCGCCGAGGGCCAGATAGGATATCAACTCTGGTTCTTCGTTGATGATGATTGGACTATTTCAGCATTGTCAATTATGAATTCTTGGTGTGTTCTTATTTGGCGATTCTCGTGATGCAATGCTGTTGTTGGTTCGAGGTCAAGACTATCTGGACTCATATGTATGATGTTGTTTGATTGTTGGAGTTCGCTATTGCTCATCTTCCTTGCATTTCCTTCTCGACATTCAAAAATAATTTTAATTATGTGAGCATTGTGAGGATTTGGCTCCTCGGCAAGCCTAAGGGCCCCACTGATACATATGTGCCCGCCCTAAGTGAAGGCGGGCCTAACAAATCAGGAGAGGCCCAAGGCTGTCAACTTTGTATTTGGGGTACAGGCAGTAGTGTCGCACCAGTTGGTTGAGGGAACCCTGGCACCGTGCAGCAAAGATTTTCCACGACCTTCTAGGCCTTTCAAAAATGCAGGCCCTGGGCAGGATTCACAACAATGTACACAAACAGTTGGGAGGCCTAACTGAACGAGGCCCTGCAGCTGCAGCAGAGGCCCAACCACCTAGGGCCTACCGAAAGCTTCTGGGCGCAGGCCCAACCCAGCCAAACCGCAGGTCTAGCTAGAACTCTTCCATATAGGGAAGAGCTCGTGGCCAGGCACAACATTCAGGCACTTGCAAGCTAGTGGCAGCGCTGCTGGAGCGGAGTCTCGCGGGCTGTTGCTTGCGCTAAGGCAAGGTGTTGCGCACGTGCGGTCGTGTACGAAGCAGGGCGCTGCTGAGGGCAGCGCCATAGCTGGCTGGGGCTTGGATGTACAACAAGGTGCAAGGTGGTCTTCGGGTGTACAAAGGGACGACGTGGGTGAAAACAAGGAAGAAGGAAGTAGGATGATGATGATGATGATGAGAGGGCACATACCTGGTATTGGCAATGGTTTGCATTGGACGACATCTTCAAGTACTTCAGTGGTTGCTGACGTCAACAGTTGCATTGTCAATTAGTAGGCAGACAGTAGTTGTGTAGGGAGTAGACTGGGCGGGGAGCGCCAAGTAGGGAGAAGAGTTTGGATACTTATGTTGGTGGTGGCGAGAGCAAGCTCTCATTGACATTCGGTTTTCAATGTTACGATTCTCCATTGGTGTGATATTGGTGCAATGACGCTTTCCGGACACTGTGATACTTCCTAGCTTTCAATGTGATTGTGCAATCTGGAACTTCTCATCTCGCTATTGCCCTTTTCCCTTGGAATTTGGTATCCGAGCTGGTTCGAACTGCGCTTTACCGATTCTTCGCAATAGCGGTTCGGTGCTTTGCATGAGGTGTGGGGCAGTGATAAGGCTTGGGCGTTGGACGATAGGCGGCTTAGGGTCATGTGGGCGCGCTAGGAAGGCTATGTGGTTACATTGGGGTGTATGCTGGATGATGAGAGCTCGCTGATGTGGCATTTAAGCCGAGGTGGAACTGCATTTCGCTGTTTGTTGTGCTGAGGCAAAGACCGGTCATCATAAATACACGTCAGGTTGCCGGTGAGAAATGTGTGGTTGGGGGAAACATTGTAAGGTACGTTGCTCTCTTCCTTATCTACCAGCTTCACTACTTATTGTGAGGAAGTGAGTTATGTTTTGAGAGTCCTCTCATTGTGAGCTGTCGTGAGCGAGGAACCTTGAGAGTCGACATTCTTCCTGTTCAGCAAGCTGGTGGGAGACGGGCGAAGCCTCTGAAGGGCCCTGGACGAAGCACTTGGGTCATGGTCACCATGCCAACCCACGGGTTGGGACTAGTACACGCATGCTCTGCCGCAAATCTTTGGTTATGCTGCCGCGCAATAGAAGTCATGCTAGGCATGCCAACCCTTTGACAGACGCTCACCAGACCGTCTTTAAATATCTATGGCGGGTTTCGGATTTGAACCCTGGTTGTGATCGTCGTCCTGTTTGCGACGTTAAATAATTCCTGAGGACCTTAGGGTTTGTCCTTAAACAGCCTCTTGATCAGCCAGATCAAACCGGAAGTAAGGCTCGTTGCATGTGAGGGTAAACAAAGTGCAGGGGCTGGTAGGCTTAGCATAGACTTGGGGCACAGATGTGGGTCGGATTGCACACCTTCAGACACGCTGCTCAACCAGATGCTCAGGGCGTTGACACAAAGAGACTACTCAAGAGGGATACAGGGAGAGGGGGGATTCCGACAACTCTTTGATGTAAAACTACTTAGATAAATTGCCATCTAACATACATTCCCACATGTGCACTCTTTTAATTTTGATTACTTAGTTGTACGGACTTGCTGACAACTGACAGACAACTGCAAATAGGATAGTATCTTCCTTGCTGCATTGCATTCTGTGTTAGAGTAATCTAAAAATAAAAATAGTGTTACCTGTAGGATATGAAATTAGTTGTTGTTGACCACTTGACTACTTCTCTCCAGGCTGACCGAATACTCTCTACTCTGTAACTTAGCGCAGCATAGTGCAGCCTCCAACCAGCAGCGTGTCGCCCAGAAGTGAGTTACTCAAACTGTGTTCTTCACAGTCGTGGCCCAGTTATTTGTAGCGCTGGGCGGCTGGGCGTACCTGGTGTTGTGTGGCCTAGAACGGCCCAACAGGTCTGGGTCCCTCCCGGACGTCCAGACCCTGCTGCTGCTGCAGCGTGGCGCAGAAATGCACCTGGCCTAAGAACGGCCTCCTACTGGTGCACCTGGCCCAAGGTGTCGTCTTGGGTCTCGCAGGACCGAAACGACGCTTGTTCCTACCGGTTTGGCGCCAAAAGGCGCCTGGCCTCGTTTCGGGCCTGCCTCTGGTGTACCTGGTCCCAAGGTCCGGCCTTGGGGCTGCAAGTCCGAAATGGCACCTGAACAGACAAAAATAAGACAGCACACACACACAAAAAAAAGGTAAGTAAAACGGAACCTGTCTACCTGGTGTGCTACCTAGGGCCTGGAGGGCCGCCGTGGGCCTCCAGGGTGTGTGCTGGATGGTACGCGGCCTGGGGGCCCCTCAGCAACCGTCGGGCCCCATTTGTGCAGGCGCAGCATGCAACACCCCCCCCTCCTTATGAAGTCAAGCCGGTCGGGGGCGAAGCTGGCGATCTGAAGGCGGTACATGGACGCGTGTGCGTCGTGGAGCCGAAGATGCCGCCTTGCCTTTCAACTTTTGTTCATAGTGTGCGAGAGCATTGGGCGTTGTTGCCTGAAGTTCCGCATGAGTCATCCATCGGTCAGCTCTATGGGTGCAGTATGCGAAGTGGACCAAAAATTCAGTCGGCCTGTTGCTGTAACGTCGTTGGGATATGATGTCGCCAACCTCTTTGAAACCGTCCATCGAGGGTGGGTCTTGACATCGTCGCCTGGGAAAGTCGTCAAGTTCTGATGGCGTGTAGAGAGCCAACTTGGAACAGTGAAAGACCGGGTTGACGGGCAAGTGGGTGGACACCTGAATGATGAATGAAGGTCCTTCGGGTGCGTCCCCAGCGGGTGCCACGATCGGCGAGGGCCCCATCCATTTCGGAAGGAGCTTGCGAGAGATATCTTGTTCGAGGCTGAATTCCGCAGCGGAAACCCATACGAGGTCATCGGCGCTGAATGGACAAGGAAGACGCTGGCGGTTGGCCTGTTGGCGCATACGTTATTGCGTCTTTGCCATCTGGTCGCGTGCCTTAACAAGAAGCTCTTGCATCCGACGAATGAAGAGAAGATGGTCGTCGCTCTCGGCCGCCCGTGGAATGATTGTGTCCAACGAAGAATTGACCGGCGAGCCATGCTCGAACTCAAAGGGTGACATCCCGATAGCCAGATGGATGGACGAGTTGTATGCCAACTCGACATCCGGCAGCCGCTCAACCCAATCTTTATGGTCGGGACGGATGAGAGTTTGAAGGAGGACCTGTGCGGTCTGATGTGCCCTCTCCGTTTGGCCATCAGTTTGGGGGTGGCGAACCAAACTTGGCTTGAGGGATGAGCCCCATCGTTTGATGAGCGCCAACCAAAAATCGGACATGAACCGAGTGTCGCGGTCGCAGACGATCTCCTTGGGGTAACCCTTGCTTCGAATCCAACCGGCACAGAGAACCTCAGCCAACTCCGGTGCCTTGGCATGATAGCGGCAAGGCAAGAACATGGCAAACTTGGTGAGTCGGTCAACCACCGTGAGAATCCCATCCACACCCGTCTTGTGCTTGGGGAATGGTCCGATAATGTCCATGGCAATCGCTTCCCTTCGGCGTAAGGGGACCGACAATGGTCGCAGTTTGCCGTACGGACGATGATTGCGTGATTTGCAACGTCGGCAAACCTCGCATGACTCGCAATAGCGCGTGACGTCGTCGAGAAGACCGGGCCACCAAAAGGGCTCGCGGAGTCAGCCAATCGTGCGATTGACTCCAAAATGTCCGGTGGCGGGGGCGTCGTGGAACTCGCCAACAAGCCGCGTGCCCAAGTGTGAATCTTGCGACACACAAAGTAGATCCTTCCCCTGCGAGTGAACGAGCAAGTATCCCTCTTGGATCCTATAGTGCGAAGGCGCTGGATTGGGAGAGGAACAGTTTGCGTACTTGTCGCGAAATTCGGGGTCGGCTTGATAGCCGCAGATGAAGCTGTCCCGCAAGTCATCCTCGATCCCGAAGGTTGAGTACACCGCGGTGCAGTGGTCCGGACGCCGTGAAAGAGCATCCGCAAAACGGTTTGACTTCCCCAGAATGTGATCGGGAAAGAAGTCAAATTGGTCGATGAAGGCCATCCAATGGGCGATGGTGTTGTTAACGGTGTCCTGAGACTTGTAGAAGACCAACGGATTGTTGTCCGTTACCCATCGGAATTGGCGTCGACCAAGGAGGAAGTGCCTCCACCGCTCGAGTGCGTGGACGAAGGCGAGAAGTTCCTTCTTGCGTGCATCATCGATTGAGTGCACGGCCGACACTTTCTTGCTGAAGTATTCGACCAGGTGCCATTCCACACCGTCATGTTGTTCGAGGACAACACCAATACCATAGCCGGACGCGTCCGTGGTGACACGTGTTGGCAATAGCGGGTCGTATATCCGCAATACCTCCGCGGAGAGCAATGCAGCCTTGAGGACCAAAAATGATTCACGTGTGTTCGTCCCGAAGTCAAACGGCCGGTCCTTGCATTGAAGCTTGGTTAAGTGAGCCGCGATCTTCGAGTACCCTTTGATGAAACGCTGGTAGTAGCCGGCAAGGCCAAGGAATGATTGGACATCCGTGATGTTCCGCGGCTCCGGCCAATCTTGGACGGCTTGAATCTTGTCCGACAACGGACTGCTGCCTTGTGGAGTAACGAAGTGGCCCAAGTATTCTAACTCTTGGCATACGAATTCGCACTTGTCGCGGTTGGCTTTGAACTTGGCGTGCCGGAGTGTCTCCAACACGGGTCGAAGATGGTCAAGATGTTCCTCCAAGGTTTGACTATAGACGAGGATGTCGTCCAAGTAGACCAGCACGAACCGGTCCAGCATTGCACGAAACTCGTTGGTCATCGCCGCTTGAAAAGTCGCCAGGGCGTTGGTGAGTCCAAAAGACATGACGACGAAGTGCCCGTACCGTGTCTTGAACACGGTCTTGTAGCGATCTTGCGGCCGAATCGAGATCTGATGATATCCTGACTTCAAGTCCAGTTTGGAAAAAAAAATTGCGCCGCCCAAGCGCTCCAAAAAGTCGTCAATACGAGGAAGAGGTCCCGCGTTCTTGACGGTTTGCGCATTGAGCTTGCGGTAATCGATGCATAGGCGGAGGTCCTTGTTCTTCTTCCGAACGAAGAGAACCGGCGCACCATAGGGTGAGCTGCTAGGCCGGATCCAGCCTTTGTCCAACAAGTTGTCGAGCTGCGCGCGGAGTACTGTAAGTTCCTCCTCGCTCATGCGATAAATGCAACCTTTTGGCAGCACGACACCGGCCTCGAGAATGATCTCGTGTGAGATCGGCCGATCCGGCACCACGCCGGTAGGTGACTCGAAGATGTCGGCGAATTCGTCGAGCAACCGCACCACCCGGGGGTCCGAAGACAAGTCCGTGGGTTGAGAGTCGGCTACCGCGACGGTTCGAAGAAAACATAAGCCTATCTCTTCAGTTCGCTCGTAAGCGCAAGTGGCCCGAAAAGATTTGGCTGTTACAACTTGGCACCGGATCGAAGGGTGCGGGAGAGGAACAGTACATGGTACTTCGGCACCAAACACGTCGCGAACCACAAGTGTCCGCCGATGGAAGTTGACCGTGTGATCCGCACTTGCAAGCCAGAGCATGCCCAAAATGATGTCGAAGTCCATGTCCAAGACGTCAAACGTCACTGGTTCACATGCATGAGGTGCGAAATAAACCGGGACGGCTTCGATGTAGCGATCAAGGAGTTGTTGCGTTCTTCCGTCCGCCAACTTGATCGACGTAGGGTGTGCCTTCCTTCAAACTTGTGGTCCAAGGCCGGCCCTTTGCATGAAGGACTGGCTCACGAAGTTGTGAGTCGCGCCACTATCCAGCAAAGCGCGGCAGGACGCTTGCCCGATTTGGATGCGGACATAAAGGAGCGGTGCGTTGTTGTCTGCGTGCGAAACTCGCGGGCCACCTTGCTCACATGCGCAAGAATGTCCCCCACTGCGACTTCGTCCTCCGTCGGCGAAGTTGGTGGTGCATAGAAGGCTAGGTATGTATGGAGATGAGCGCTAAGAGCTGCGCATTGCGGCTCCGGTAAGCAGCCGGTGGAAGGGAGAGGAAGCCATGCAAAATCCTCGGGCGTCAACGGGTCCAAGTCCTCTATGTTGAATGTGCGCGCCGAATCCCATGAAGGTCCACTTCAAGACGACTCAATGCCGTTGCTTCCGATCGGAGAAGAAACCGCACATACATCCTGTCCTTGGGCTTGTGAATTCAGCGAAGGTACGAGACGGGCAGCATAGTCCTCGAAGGAATGAAGAATGGGAGGACTTACGACGTCCGCATGTGCCCCGAAACCGAGGGAGGTTACTCGTACAGCAACCGGTTCCGTAGGTGTCGAGAGTGTCGTCGCATCACTCTCGGCGGTGCTCACTTTCCCAATTGGGCGGTACTCTTGGCCTTCGTGGGACAGCTCGCTGTCTCATGTGCTGAGCTGTTGCACCACAAGCAATAGTGGTACTTGGTGCGGACGCGGTACCTGCGCTCCGTAAGCCCGTACGCTGTCCAAGGTCCTTGCTCTTGAACTGCTTAACCGGGCCCAGAAGAAGTAGTGGTGTTCGTCTTCGTCTTGCTGCGTCCTCGTCCTTTGTTGGGGCGGCCACCATTCTGGGCAGCTGTGAGTCTGTCTCCCTCGTAAGACGAAACAGCCTCATTTGAAATTGAAGGGTCGCTAGGCGTTGCTGCTGCGACCACGGCCACTTTCGGCCGATGCTGATTCGCGCCCTGGCCGGCAGTCGACGAGTGGCCCGTATTCCGGGCTGCCAAGTTCGTCACAATGATCTACGCGGCTTTGTTGAAGAGTTCCTCACTTGTGTTGAGGTTCTCGGCGACTTGAATTAACGCATTCTGCAACGCTGGGCACGACCTCTTGATGAAGTAAAGCTTGATGTCGTCGAAGTTCATCGGCAACTTGGGCGTGCTTGCTAGCCGTTGGAACTAAGATATCCTGTCTCTGCTTGGCATGCTGTTCTGCGAAAACGTCAGGAGCTTGTCCATCGCCTGGTGCTCGGGTGGTTCTACTTGGAAACGCTGCTTCCATGCCGCCTTGAGATCTGCCCAAGCGATGTATTTATGCAACTCAGTGATTGTACATGCATGTGCGGACAGCATGTTGTCCAACCATGTCTGACACGCTCCTCCCGAGCGGGAGTTCAAGTATGCATGCCGGTTCGCGTCGATGACGTGGTGGATGTCCAGCTTGAGTTCAAACTGGCGCCACCATTGGATGGGGTCGGTCTTCGATGCGTCACAGAAGATCGGGAGCCCATCGAACTTGGCAATAGTTTCGCGTGTCGTTGCGCTAGGGCCGGCCGGTGCAGAAGACTGTTGTTGCAGCTGCTGTGCCCCAGTCTTAACTGTTCCCACGTCTATCTCCAAGACGTTGACGCGGTCGATGAGATTGGAGGGGCCGATGCTGGTGTTGGCGGTGGCGACCTGCTGCTCCAGCTGCTGTATGCGCTTCAGCATCTGGTCCACCGACTGCTGTAACACCTTGTTGGTGTGGTCGAGGGAGTGGATGTCCTCCTGCTGCGCGATACAAGTCGCAAGGAGGTTTGTGACACGGTTGAGCAGATGAGATACCCTGCTCCCGTAGTCGACGGATTCGCCGCTCTCGGCCTCCCTCTGCCAGTCCTTGGCCTGTGCATGTAATGCACCTTCCTCCCTGAATATGACTTCGCGTCGCCTCACACGTTCTTCATCAGCGGCCTTGGCTGCTGCTACGGCGTGCTTCTGTCGCTGTTCTTCGGCCAGAAGACGCAGTCTCTCTGCCTCTGCCTCTCTCTTCTTCTGTGCTGCCGCCGCCGCTTCTGCCCGTTGCTTGCTTTCGGCTATGATGGCCGCCAACCGTGCCTCACAGGCCTCGTCAGACTCACCTGCTTTCTGATCCATCGCTGTTGTCTGCGAGCGAGTAAGTATGGTCATGCGATGCAGGCCCTGAAGAAGTAGTGGTGTTCGTCTTCGTCTTGCTGCGTCATTTTGGAAAATTTTCGGAAAATTTTCGAAATTAAAAAACGAATGTCAAAAAAAAATTCGGGATAACGGGAATTTTTGTAACGGAATATGATCGAAACTTTTTAGAAAGAATTTCGGGACTTCTATGCCGCGAAATTTCGAATTTCAGAAGAATGACGAATTCAAAAAACAAATTCGCGGGATTTCTCGAAATAACGGAAAGGTGCAATATTTCGGTTTTTCAGCAACGAAGTTTCAAGTTCAGAAACGAAACTTTCGGATGCCCTGCTATTGCGATTTACCACAATAAAAAATAGCGGCAAAACGAAATTCAAATAGGAGAAAAAATTTCGATTATTTTTTTTTTTTTTTTTTTTTTTTTTTAAACATCCCTACCAGTGATAGTGGTGCTGATGAGAGCAGACACCGCAAGCACCTGGGGAATGGCTCCATCTATTGGTGGGGAGCATCACCTGCTGGAAAACGGGTCTAGCGTCCCTTATACAATTGATTTTTGAAACATGTCTGAAATGACTCTCAACACTCAAAGAAGCTAAGGGAGATACCTGCCAGCATTGATTACCCTGGAGTCCAGGGGATTAACTAAGCAGGGTAGCTGAAAGAAGGAAGGAGGAATCTCTTCACCTTGAGTCCGGCACCAGATTTTGCTACTACGTGCTAATTCCTCCCTCTCCCTATCTCCCTTTTTTTGCATCGCTGCCTCGAGTACAAATGAGCAAGAAAAAACTTAAAGAAATAACAATGATCAAACTAGTCAGACCGTCTTTAGGCACCTGTGTACCAATGAGTCTCAACTATTGAGTTTGCAGGCGGTGGGAAGGGGTCAGGGAAATCAGAGGGGGGTCGCATCGGAATGGAGGGGTCAATCCTGGTCCAATCATGAAAGTGGAGGTGGTAATCCCTTTCTAGCTTTTCCTTACTCCTTCCTTCCCTGCTGAGCTGGCTAGCCCTGCACTAGATTATCCTCGCGTGCAGCGAGCCTTACGACCATTGGCTGATCCAGAGGCAATTTAACGACCGCCCCCAAGTGTCATCAAGAATTATTTTACATCGCAGCAGGACGACGATCACAGCCAATGGTTCCCCTTCCGGTGCTTATTTAAAGACGTCCGGTCTCGTCTCCCTCTTAGGTCTGGCCTGCCCTTCAGTACCCATCTAATAGCGCAGCAAGCCGAACAAAGGACAAGCAGCAAAGCATGCGTGCTCTACTCCCGGTGGGTTGGCATAGTGACTGTGACCCAGTGCTTCATCCAGGGCCCTTGAGAAAGCTCCGCCCATCTTCTCCCAGATGCTCCACGTGAACATTGTCGACTCCCAAGGTTGAGCGCACTCGACACCTCACAATGAGAGGACTCTCAAGAAGGAACACACAACCTCACGGTAAGAAGTGTTGAAGAGGGTAGATAAGGTTAAGAGCAGCGTACCTCAAATAGCTGCCCCCAACCACAGAGATAATCTCCACAGATGACCTGATGCCGATTGTGATGACCAGTCATTGCTTCGACGAACCCAGCATTACACGCCGTTCCACCTCAGCACCAATCGCACATTAGATAGTTCTCATCACATTGTCCAACACCCACATTGCACACCGTAGCCTTCCTGGCGATCCCCTCACCTCCTGGGTCGCCAACGACTCGTCTCCGCCCTCCTCACTACACACTACTTACGGCCAAACTCGCCAAGCAGACCGCATGTATGTACCGCATAAGGC